CAATAAAATGTGTTTTTAGGATTTCAACGCGAGGCTTTCCACGGGAATCGAATACATCATATGCACTTAAACGTGTATTTGGTGGACATGGAATGTCTAGAAGATTTGCATAAAATTTTCCTTTTTTTTTTTTTGAAAAACATTTGGCTTTTACTTTTCATCACACGCTCAATAGTTGGTGGAGGTGTTACACTATTTGTTGTTGTCATTATTGATGTTGTTGATGGTGGTGAAGATGTAATTGGTGTTTTATTAGGCGACGAGGAATTTGAAATATTATTAGATACTGTTGTACTTGTTGCCATTATAAGCATGGTCTATCCATCAAGATGAAAAGAATGATGAAATCATTAGTTTTAGAAACATTGATATTCTTCGTTCTATTTCAAATGTAATTGATCCATGATATTATAACATGACAAGACAAACAAGATTCATACATGGAAAATAGATCTAGAGTAATAGAGATATAGAGAAAAAAAAAACAACAATTAGCATTATTTTATGAAAGAAAAGAATAATCGTCATCGATTATACATTTAGTATTGTATTACTATTTGTCCTTGTTCGTCTTAAAAAGCCTATCGAAAGAGACACCTGCATGCACGCATTTAGAAAGTGAAAGAAGAGAGCTAGACAGAGCCACATACCGCCTATTGGGGCATGAAAATAGATTTCCTGCTTTGTTTCTTTCTCTTCCTCTCCCTCTCTCCCTCTCCTTCTCTCTCTCTTTCTCTTCATTGCATGGGTGCGAGGCGATGTTCTTTTTCCTTGTCTTTTCTTTTCGATAGTATGTTATGTGTGTACGGCACATCGACGAGATAGAATAAAAGAAATTTATTTATCAAGTTTTTCTTGCTGTTAGATGAAGAAAGAAAGAAAGAACGAGATGGATGTAACAGAGAAAGAGAGAGAGAGAAAGAGAGACAGAAGAAAAATGAAGAAAAGTAGTAAGCATTCTCTTTCTTTTACTCGCATTTGTTTTTGCATCGTCGTCGATCCTGTTATTGTTGTTATAGGAGCATGTATGCAATGTGTGTGGCAGCTAGTCTTAACAGCAAACGTTTTGTTCTCATGCATTTTATTCATTCTCTCTTCCTTCCTTTCTTTTCACGTCATCAATAAGCAACTGAGTGAGTGCGAACTATCGTTGTTCTCCTCCTACCCATCAACAATATTTAGATATTAATGAGAAAAAAAGAAACACAATAAACAAGCAACAACAGCGTTTTTTTTTCTCTGTTTTGGTTTGTTCGTTGTTGTTGTCTTGCAAATCGACGGTTTCCTCATTTGATAATGACACAATATAAAGCTCTTTGTTCGTTCGACATCCTCCGCGATTCGATTAATGTGTTGATGTATGTCAAAGATCGTCGATTTTCTCGATGAATTTATCTTTTCTCCTTATTACACGATGCGACCAGGGTAATTTTTGATAATATAGAGAAAAAATAACCTTAATGACAAAGCACTAGATCATGGAACTTCAGAATACGTACACGCAAAGTGTTTCATTGCTGACGGATGTTCGAGAAAAATAATAAGAAAAATTTAAATGATGGAAAATATATATATATTAGTGAACATTTTCATTTCTATTGATTTAAAGGGAAATAAATGGAAAAGGAGAGAATAAAAAAAAAAAGAGAATTTTCTAAATTAAAACTAACAAATGTAAAATATAACAATAAAAAAAAACCGAAGAAAAGAAGTTTATTTTACTTACAAAATAAACGTAAAAACAGGCCTCGATCATATTATTATCAATAAATCTATTAGATAAACTAATGTAAATGATTTCATAGAATCATCAAAAATTCTGTTCGAATCCAACAATTTGATATAACACATAGAAATCTTTCAACACTAGGAATTTGAATAATTCCCTACAGATGGCGCTATTAATCAGTACCTCGATACTTTAGGATGTAATCCTCAAGACACTAAGAAAAACATTGTTTTGTTATTATGAATTTTATTCCGAAAATAAAAAAACCAATCAATCAAACTTAACAAACCATCATACTTAGTATTTTCTAAAACAAAAAAAAAAAAACTTATTGTTCATTCATCGTTTACAACTAAGATTCTACTGATATACTTGATAACTCAATAACGTTTATAAAAACTTATAACTATTGTAATGTCACGTTCTTATACTATACATTGTCAACAAGTTATTTTTTTTTCTTTTTTTAATAAGATAAAAAGCTTTATTTCTTATTATTGCAATGTCACTCTGCGTTCGTGATACTTCTTTAACGAGATAACTAAATATTTTCTTAATATTTAAATAGAATAACAGTATATTTTCATCTGACAAATCATGAGGACTCATCTCATTCAGACAAGCAACATATTGACGAAATGAATGCATTAACAACGGATAAGATAACGGAAGTTTATCTAGTGAGAATGTGGAATTTATCATCTGACTATCGATATATTTTAAGTAAAGAAGAATACATATTACTGTTTCTACAAACAATATAGAATTGTTTCACGAAAAGATTCATTTCAAAAGAAAAAATTTCAAGCCACCACAATTGTATTTGTTTTTGAAATGAAATTTATGGTATACAAATAAATATTAGTTTTGGAAATAAAGTTTATGATTGATCTATTGCATTGATAAAATCTATTTGATACACAGAATAAAAGTTTTAAATTTGTTATCAAATTATGATATATAGATGTATATATGAACTAAGAAATAATATTCGAATCATTCTTGTTATTGAACTATATGAATTTATCAGTAGAAACAATTAGTTCAATTGTTTCGACATTCGATAATGAATATTCTGAGAACGTGACTTGATTTGCATTTTGTCACATTCTCAGATCGACTCAATGATGGAAGAGAAAAAAAAAAGAAAAAAAATCGATCTGTCGCTCTCACCCTCATTTCATGATCACAAACACGCAATCTTACTCTTGTTTTTCACAAATTGACTTTCAAGTGGTATCTCTAACTAATAATAAAAAGCACTATAGTACGTGTATGTATATGATAATCATGTGCAATAAGAAACAAAATGAAACATCAAAAGGGGAAAAATAAGAGAAATCTAAATAAAGAGAACAATAGAGAGAAATGCTTTTTGCTTTTTTTTTTATATAGAATCCACATCTGTGTTTTTCTGCTTGTCGCTCCCCTGCAGATCCATAATTCGAAGCGAAATACAATTATTATATTCTAATGGCTACACATATACAAAGAGAGCGCATATACGAAGAGCAATGCATACCCAATTATCATGCTCTCATTGATAAAGAAGAGTCGAGAGAATAACAATGCTGGACGCAAAGAGAAAATAAGAAGAAAAAGAAAGAAAGCCGGAACGGGCAGAGCATAAACTAAAGAGTACGAGAGGGTCATTAATAAAAAATTAATAAATGATGCAGAAGTAGAAAGTAATAACAGCGCAACATTGCACTACGTCAGAATAGAATGGTCATATGCGTATGTTTCATTGATTCAGCTTACTATATAGTTACAATGCAAGAACCAAAAACGATATCATTCTTTTGCTTTTATCCTACAAATGTAAAGAAGAAAGCAGCATGCGTGGGAAAAAGAAACAGCGAGGATGACAACGAGTGGTTGTGGTGGCGGCAGCGGCGCCGGCAAACTATTCTCGGAGGATGGATGGCCTGTTCGTGCTAAAATTAAAAAACGAGCCTATGTAGTCAACGTTCAGATCCTAATCGAATTCGACTTAGCCAGAAAGCGCGATAGAGAACATAAGAGAAAACGACGAATAAAGGGTGGAAAAAGAGAAAAAATGTTAATTTGTTTTAAGTAGTTCCGATTATGTGCTATTGCTGGTTGTGTACGAAACGATCACGACGGCGGAAAATAGTTTAACAACGTTCAAGATTTGCCCAAAATGATGAAGATGAGATTGCCAACAAAACAAAACAGAAAAAAAAATACATCAGTTCTACCCCAAGTGTATATATGTGATTTGTGTGCAAGCAATTAACACCTGATCCTACATCGTTTTCTTTCACACGATTGAGAATATAACAAATATCCACTTTTTTTAGTTAAAATAATATACATATTTATATGTATAGAAATAACGAACATAATAGGCTTTATTTTTAATTGTCTTATTCTTTATTACTAACGCTATGTTTCATTATAATATATATACATATATTGTTTAATAAAGCAAAAAAAATATCTAGTTGAATAAGTGTTTTTTTTTACCTTTTTATTATAATATATTTTCAATGATAAATGTATTTATTGTTGATTGCTATCAAATACTAAATAACTACGTTTATGATAGAAAAATTATCAATTCATCTTTAAGCATCATTATTTGCCTTGCAGCTCTAGTATCGTCATCATTATTCGCATACTCTTTTTGTTTTCTCGAACTATAGATGCCCTCCCATCCATTTCCTGACTGACGATTTCCGTTGCCATTTGCCTCTGATAGTCATTATTTGTTGATCTGTCAAATTAAGAGAATCAACGAATAAAAAATTTCAAACACAAAAAGAAAATGTTTTCTTGAATGTATATTAACATATGCATAGATATCTTACCTTTAAATATTTTCTATGAATATCATTTTAATGTCATTCAACAATACCTTATAATATTCTCTTGATCATCAAATGATTTTTCCATCATCATACTAGGAAGTTTTTTTCTCTCTCATTTTTTTTCTGCATACAACAACATCAGGATTCTTTTCTTATGGCACTGCCACACAGAAAAAAAGCCGTTTTCTCTCTACTTACATCAACACAATGCTCATTTCTCGTTTTTCTTCTTCTTCTTCTTCTTCGAACACACAAGCCAGAGCGCAAAAAAAAATGGGAGCCAACGACGATTCTAATTCGAGTGTGTCAAAACGCAAGAAAAGAGAAAATATGATGTGTATATGTGGAAATAAGGAAAAAGGCGCACACAGGGAAGAATAGAAGGATGTCACTGTTTTTCTTTTTTTTGCTTTTGTAGCCAAGATATATATAGTTCTTCAGATTTCAGCTGCTGCTTCAAGATTATCATAAACTGTACGACGAATTGAAGCATGATCATCATTGACGGGTGCAGGTTTCTTTGCATCTTTAATTATACCAATAATAGCATGAGCATATTTCGAATCGGGTAATTTGATCTAAAAATATAATATTGTAATGTTCATTTTTTCAATATAGTTTTTTTTTCCTCTTACCAAATAATGATGTAAAATTGTTTTACCAAGATCTTGGGAACCATATTTAGCTGGCTCTAATTGATATGTTGCAGATATATTATGTTTTCGAGCAATGAGTTTTTTACGTAAAATAGCTTTATACTAAACAAGAGAATAAATTTTATCCTAGATAATGTCAGAATATGATATACTTACATCATTAAATATTTTCTTTTGATCAGCATTCGGCACTGTCCAATGATTTGTTTTAGGTTTTGAGCTAAAAATAAAATAGAATATTTTCAATGTAAAGAAATAAATTTTGGTATGAAATAAGCTATTTATAATCTAATAAAATTGTTTTCATTTGAAAGGAATTATTTTCATAAACGAACAAAAAAAAAACAATGTCAAATAATCTTATACAACTAACACTTCTAATAACCTTCAAGAGTTTTCTATTAATAGTCTACAATAGTCAAAAAGAAACCTGATCTATATCCAGGAAAAAAACATCGTTTATGAAACCTAATCCATGATCAGATAAATCGAACGATACATTGAAGAAATAAAATAGATTAATAGATTCTTAAGTTTAAAGAAAGCAAGCAATTTGGATTATGGTAAGAAGTTTTTTAAATATAAAAATGTAGTCTATAGAATTTATACCTTTTTTTTCCGGGTTTCTTCTTTTTTTTACCAACTTTAGAAGCGGGTTTAGCAGCTGGTACTTTTGAAGGAGACTTCGCAGTCGTAGGAGGTTTTGTTGTTGTCGCAAGTGTTGTTGTTGTTGCTGCTGGTGGTGCTCCAGGTTTTTTAGCAGGTTTACCAGTTATTGGTATAGTATACAATGCTATGATTAAAACTATAGCAAAGAAAAATAACGACGACGTGTGCATCTTAATTTGTATCGAAACAACTGTGTGGTTTTGATATGAGATATATTAGTGATATTCTGACTGTGTATCTTGAGCGTATAAAGAAATAATTATTTTTCTTTCCTGAGGGTAATGATTACGCATATCTATAACATAGAGAAAAAAAGACGACAGGGAAAAGAGATAAGGAAAAGATCATTGAATATATATTTTGTATATGTATAAGAGTATAAGGAAATAACCTCGAGCTATTCGTAGCGTGATCTTCGACTCTTCTAGTCTAAAGAAATCGTTTAGTATGTGCAACTGCCAGCACATAACATATATTCTATATTACGTGATAGTGATGACGTATATCATTTATTACAGGAACAATTTGACATGTGATGCTAAATTTATAAATATCTATATAAAGGTTTTCCAGTTCTTCTTAAGAACATCCTTTTACTCCTTCGACTGATTATTATTATACACTTTATTCTGTATCCTTGAACATTATTCGTCAAACATTATTCCATTCGAATGCAAATATATATTTTATTTGCTTTCAAAGACAAAAAAAGAAGAAGAATAAATTGACATATTGTATTTACATTGTACCCGACTGGTTTTGCTAGTTATTTTTAATGACATATATTTATAAATATATCAAGTGAATGAATATCAAACGAGATAATATGAAGTTGATTGAGTTTGACTTGATAAGATTTCTCAAGGAAGTCTTCATAGGATATACATGTAATTAATGAAATATTGAAAATATAATACTATAAAAGTACTATAAAAGTTCAAGTCAAAGTGTTTGATATATAAGAATTGGAAAATAGTGTAGCAATTTTATCATTTTCTGTCAAAATTTGAGGAGTTTTGTTACAAAATAAAGTCTATCAATGAATCTTAGAAAAATCAAATATGTCTATGTATTCTCAAAATAATAGTAAATTATTTCATTTGAAGTTTTTAAATATTATGTTGAGTAATAAATGTCATGAAGTTCTTTTCCTTTCATCCTTTTATTTTATCGTCTAAGTCGTTAATAGTACTTTTTTCTATTATATTTACTCGAAGTTTTTGCTTATTATCGATAACAGACACATAATGTATTGATGATACACATATTATTAATAGAAAAGTATGACTATCATACATATATTCATAAATGACGATGATGTTCTCATTATATATTCTATTATTTGATGCGAGAAGATCATCGTATTACCTTGATCATGGAATATCGAGTACAATCTGATCTAGATTTTGCCACTTTAGAATATATTACCGTCTGTTAAGTTCTTTCTAACTATCGGTATTTAACTAATGCTTGAATGAATACAAATGTTTGGATAATTATTGGTAATCTATTCGAATGTTTATTTGAACACAAATCATTGCTTTATACCATTGACTATGATCCTGTTTTTTCTTGACAATTTTATTTATTATGAAACTATTTACTAATTGAATTCAATAGTATATACTCGAATTTCATTATCAATTAATCGAATCGATGCTATTTCACATGAGAAAACATATATTGAGTTCTTCATGTTAATACTTATCTGAATGTTTGTTAAGCATCCTTTTTCATCGATCAATCAAGTCAAAATAAGTATGAAAACTTCGACAAGACTATTTTAATGATATAAATAAAATAAATCGACATTATATACTACACTTATGAATGAGAGTCCTCAGACATAAGAGTCCATCGGGTCCACAATTTTCAGTTGTAGACTCGAGTGAACTGTACTTTGATAATCTCAATAAAATTTTCTATTCGAAATTGTGTAGTCATCACAAAAATACAAGATACTTTTGTTTGAGTTTTTGTATTCGATGACTAGCGAATCGTACGCAATCCTTAGATGACTGTAGCTCTTCAAGGTTCAAAATCTTCAGGGCCAACTCGATGGGTTCTCTTAGTTACTCAATTTAAAGTGGCAATGTCATGCCTTGCAATTTACTATTCTGCAATGTTATCTTTGTTACACAGAACTGACTTATTCTTTTCATTGATAATCAATATTTAACAAGTACAATGTATTTACTTATTTGATCATTTCATATATATTCATTGACTTTATAGAATCTTGATTTTGATGTTTATGTCTGTAAAATAGTTTTCTATCTATATGATTGTTATACATGCTTTTGCTGTAAAACTTGTTTGTATATTTCATTTATTTATACAATATATCAAAGAAATATGAAATAATGGTGAGCAACAATAAGGAACTGCAGATAAAAGACTTCATATGAATAAATATCTCGAATATCGAAAAAGAGAAAAAATAACTTTTTTTATTATTGATATTGCTTTTAATACAATTACAGATGTGACATATAGTCTTCATTTTGCTGGAATAACAAAGAAAAAAATTCAAATGCCACATGTTATTCTTACTGTTAGAACGATTTCACATGGAGCAGACCGTATTATCATGAGATATCGTGCCGATGCATTCTTTTTATAATATATTGCTTTGTGCTTTTTATTGTTTCGATAGACAAATTTCATTTGATGATGGAATTTTCATCATCAGAGTTTTATTGAAAGTGGTGTTCAATATTTCCTGATATTCATTCAGTAACTAATCGTATTTCCTTGTATGATCTAGTATAGACATAATAATTGAAACTGGTATTTATAGTTTGAAAGAGAAAGGAAAATTCAATTAGAAAATGTTTACATTGTAGATAAAGCAGGAGACGACACAACATAGCGATGGAATGTGTTTTTTTTCTCTTGATATGATTACCATAGTGTCGTCATAGATGGGTTAGTCATCAAGAATTAATATGAATCATTACAAATCATCAAAAAGTTAATGAAAGTCAATGGATAAAAAATGAAATCAATGAATCCAGAATATGTAATCAATAAGAATAATTTGCTCATAAAGTAACAACCAGAAATTTTTATTCTTTTCTATCATTGAATGCAATTTATGAAGATTTCACTTCATATCATGACCGAATCGTGTTTTCGTATGTTTTAGAATATGCTTGGATCCTTCCTTTTCACATTGTTTGATGTTTGTATATAGATTTCATAGTTTTAATTTCTATTCTGTTCATTAAAGTTTTATCATAAACATTTTAGTATGTAAATTAGTCATTGCATATCACATTAAAGAGTAGACCATATACAGTAGTACGAAGAAAAAAATTTCAATATCTCCGCTTCGATTTACTCTAATCGGTTGAATATTAGTTGATGGTAGAATAATCTTATGTAAATTTTTTTTCATACACATAATATAAACAAATAGTACTGTTGTCAAGTAAGAAAAACACATATAGAGCGTTTCATAGATAATTTTCAGTTGTCATCTAAGAGAATAGGAAGTAAAACCAAACTTTATGAATGATACGATCAAGGTGTATATATATAGTAGTGAACTAAAGTTTGGAGCAGTTGTATCTTTAAGTATTTTTTCTCGATGGTCATGGCTAGCAAGAGTTTATAAAAATATTTGAGAAGCAACAGGGATTCTCTATTGGGATTAGCGGGCCTATCAACTCTAATAAAATTGCTTGGATGATGGTCTTCGGAAAACTAAGCCCTCAAAAGCAGTTTTCTGGCAACCATTTGAAGCTTTTGAGAACGATTTTATTTGATAGAGCAAAATGAGATGTCACGGCTCTCTTAATGACGTTCTTTCATTGAGCTGCATCCAATTTATAGAAGACTCAAGAAGCATCTTTTTTTGTTTTTATGGAAAATCTCAATGATTTCACTGTGTTTGACGTTTTAAGGTTCATTTCAGCTAGTCAAATGTTTTGTTCAGATTCTTTCCGGCTATGACCATCGAGAAGAAAATTCAAAAATGTAACACGTTTTAAAATAATGTCAGTCACTATAGAGCAATTTTTCAAGCTTAGTTAGTTTAAAATGCTCAGACTCGTATCCGATAAGTGAAATCTACAATCACAGCTCATCGGACACGAAAATACCATCTTGCAAAATCTGCATCAAAATACTTGATAACAGATGAAATTTTCTTCATGATATAAAAAATAACACTTCACAGTAGTATTTTCTTACTTTGAACCGACGTGGAAATATTTCATTTTTTTTTATCGTAGTGGTATTCACGACCTATCCTGTTTGATAATGTTTAAAGTAATTTACAAAATAGGTTTTCAATATGTAAAAATTGAAATAAAGAAACGATAGAAATCTTTGTCGATATTTTCTAAAGTTCAAATATCTTTTTTTTCTTCAATTTTATTTTTTATGATATAAACCCATCAATAAAGACACAATGTAATTAGGATGACAAATAAAACAAAATTGTCTTTAAGACCATTTATTGAAGATACATTAATGAAAAAGAAAAAAAAAACCGGTTCAATCATTTTGTAGTATGTTCAGATAATTTATTTTTAGCAAGTTCTAATCGTTGTTGAAGAAATGAAATATTGGGATGATCTTTTGGTAAATTTTCAATTGCTGCTAATGTATATTCAACTGTTTTAGCATATTGTTTAGTTTCAAATGCAGCACATGCTAAATTTTCATACGTTTGTGCTTTATTTTCTTCGAGCAGAAGAGCATTTTGAATATTAAGTTTTTGTATCCATAAATTCATTGCTTTTTCCCAATTATTAAGTACATTAGCATGATATTGAGCTGCTTGATCAAGATAGAAAAGATAAACAGTAAATTGCATTGTTCCATTATGCATTGCTTTTTCATACATAATTGTCGCTGCATTATAATTACCTAATTTCTGTTCTAAATATCCTAATTGTCCATATATGGATGAATATGTTGCTAAGTCAATTTCAGATTCCTTAAGTAAGAGTTTTTTAAAATATTTAATAGCTTCAGTAGTTCCATGTTTTAAATAGGTAAGTACACCTCGAATAATTAAAGGTAATTCATTTACTAAATCATAATTACTATTTAAACTTGACGTATATTGAGATAATATAACTGTGGTTTCAGTAACATCAATAATTTTGAATGATGCACCAAGTATGAAGAGAATTGTTCGTGATGTAGATGTTTCTTTACTATCAGCAAATGTATAATCTTGTGATGCATCAATTTCGAATATTATACGTTTGAAAGTTTTGTCCATTGGTTCAATACTTTGAAGAAGATTAAAAATTTCATCACGTGATGTTTGAGCACTAAGGAAACATTGCATTGTTATTATTTGATTGATATTAGATTTTAATAGAGACAATATTTCATTCGATATAAATTGACCACGAAAGACACGTAATGTTGATGATTGATTTACACTCTGCTTTTTTATATTTCGATTAATATCCACAATAAATGAATACATATCAACAAGTACACTCATATCTTGATCGATAAATGCACGAGAAAGTAAACGATGTAAACAAGTTCCACGCATATACCATGAGATAGCATTTTCAGGTTTATACGAATCAGCTAATTCATCGATAAAATTTACTTCACTGTCATTACCTTCATAATATTCCAAATATGTTTCAATTAAACGACCTCGAATTTGCCTATCATAAATATCTTTTGCATTAACATTCACTATCTTAGAAAATAAATCAAATTTTTCTTGATATTCCAAATTATTTTTTACAGTAGCGATGTTCACTATCATTGGATCATCAAGATCTGTATGTATTTTAATATCATCTTCTAAATATCGTTTAGCTGTAGACAAAGAATCATATATTCCTCTAATCTAAGAAAAGATATATCATTTTAAATCAATCGCATGAACTAAACAATACCTTGTTATATTGATTTGTTGCTTGATTCATATCGACATTATCGCGATTGTGATATATGTAAATAGAATGTAATTGTTGGTGATCGTGAACATTTGGTAATAATAATAAACCTTGAATACAATTGACAATTAGAAATATTTTACCATTTTTAATTCTTTTAAACTCTTTTTCACATTCTTCATTTGATTCAAATATTTTCATGTAATTTATAATGGTTCGTAATTCATCTTGAGTTTCTATAAATTCAGGTGATCTTACCGTACTATCGAGCCAAAATAAGTAATATGATTCGAGATTTTTTCGATCAATACTTATTGGCGACTCATCAGGAATAAACCTTACAACTGCTGGATGTACAACTGCTCTTGGACGTGCAGCACAACCTCCCATATTGGAAGCAATGTGTTTCTAATGGATCTAAAAATTTGGACAGAATATATATATTCTGTAAATCGAATGTAAAATACTGCTTTAATCTTGATCTAATAAAACGAATGTAAATAGAGAAAGTAAAACATTCAATAGTTTAGTTTTAATAAACTTAAATATTTTGCTAAACACCTCGCGCATCGCATCTATAGAGAAAATAAAAAAGGAAAAACAACTGACAAAGTAAAAGTATAAAAGAAAACAAAACACATGTGTGCTTTGTGAAGTTATATTTGTTGCTAACGTTTCTCCGCATTCTTTGCTTCGAAACAAGTAGCGATAAAATAGTTAAAGAAAAAAGAATTGGTTTGAATCGCCATAAACGTACCAGAAAAAAAGTAATCAAATAAATTGCTGAAAATTTATATGAAATACAAAAATAAATTGAAAACTCACTTTGTTTATGAAAAATAACGTACAAAAAAGTTCTTTTCATACATCAATGTTGTTCTACTTTTTGTTCATGTACAATAAAATTACAAATACAAAGCCAAATTAATAAAAAGAATCTGACAAAAAAACCTTTCGACCTGTCAAATCGTTTTTCGACCTGAAATAACAGTCATTCTATGAATGCTAGAAAATATTAGAAAATTCTAGAATGATTTGATTTTCCAGACCTTCATTCTTGAAATATCGAAATTTTACCGATTTTTCCAAAAAAAGCTATGATCTTCTCAAGTAATGTGAAAAATTGACTTTCAAGTTTCAGCTTCAGACTTTACACACACAAAGTTCTTTCTGAGATTAGTTGGTTGTGCCAGTCTTAGCTTTTTCAGTGGAAATGTAAGTATAGAAACAAACTTTGCTTTTATACATGAGAGAATTTCGACTATTAAATATCTCAGGATAGAAGTTAGTATAAAGGTAAAAGCTTGTTCAATAAACTAATCTAATTAAGAACTTTGTTCTTGCAAAACTTGAAATTAAAACTCAAAAGTCTAATCTGGGGACAACCACAACTTCCTGTTCAAAAACCCAATGCTTTTTCGATATCTCAAGAATGAAAGCCCAGAAAATCAAACCATTCTTGACTATTTTATTACTCATCAAATGAACATCGTCTCGGTGGAAAGGCGATTAATACGTGAAGAGATTCCCTCATGAGATAATTAAAGATTCATAGAACATTCTTCTAAACATAGAATGAATTAATGATGAACTCATGATTTCATAAGTCAATACTTCTAGACACTTTTGTTAGTTTTATAGAATTATTTCATAAATATACTAAATAAAAACAAATAACAGAGTTTGTCCACCCTGGTGGAAGCTAGAGTTTATCGGCTGGTTTTGTGGCTCAAGTCTGACATTTTTCTGTTAATCGAGCGTGAATCCAGATCCGAAAAATTAGGACACGGCGGGCTCTAATGAGAGTGTTCACCCAATGAGTACTCATTCAGGTTATTATGTAATAATCATTCTTGATTTTTCAGAGTATTTAGCAGAAAAATTATGTACAAGAAGAGATGAAATCAATATAATAAATTGCGATGTAATTAAATGAAAGATAATTATTTAAGGAAAGAAAAAATGATTTTTTTTCATTTTCAACTATTCACTTCTCAAGTGATATATGCTTAAAGCTATAAATGACAATTCGTTCAATGTTTTTCCTAAATTATGAGTAAAATATTCTTTTACTTTGAAACAGTTAATAACTTGTGTTACTAATGGATTACAATGTCATATTATAAATACATAAGCATCATCCTATAGATGAATAATTTTTGATTGTTTTTCTGTTACTAAATACAAGGCATCCATCAATTTAAAAGTATCGGTGTGGTTGTCAGTAATAAACAAGACTATGTGTTATGGATGTTCTCAGTTTTCTTGAGAACAATTTATTATTGATTTCTATATACATGCTATTCTGAATACATATTTATATTTACTACTACTTTATTTTCTAAAAATAGAAAGTGTATTTCTATTGTTTATACAAAAACTGAAGTAAAAAATGCTACCTCTGACTGTCCAACTGATCTTAGTTTTGTCTTTCATTTTTTTTTATTAAATAAAACGGATGAAGTTCAAAAGTACTAAACAAATCATACGATTATGAATAATATTTTACATAGGCTACTGGAATACACAAAAAACACATAATATTACAAGCTGGGTACTACTGATGAGTGCTCATGATTTTTTGCAGTATGTTATAGCGTGAGTACTCACTTATAAATACATTCACTAGAGCAGTATGAAATATGAGAAAATCATCTAAAATCTCTCTTCTTAATGAAACCTAATGATTTTAATCGTCTGAGATGAAGATTTTCACACAAATAGAAAACATTTTTCTAGATAACTAACTTAACAATATGAGTTTTTTTAACATTACTATTGAATAAAAAACAAGATGAGCTACATTTGTTCAAAACTTTGAAAGAAGAACCGTTTATTTCGTTAACAACTGGAAAATAAAAACAAAACCATACATTTACGTTGTAGTTATTGATATATGACAAATATAAAAGAACGAAAGATTTATGTCTATCTTGATTAAGAATCATGCTATGCGAAAAGAAATCTTATGAAAAAATGTAAAAGATTTTCAAGTATTTGTTTACCTTAAATAATAAAAGAATAGTTTCTATTATTCTGCAGAGAATGACACATATATAAGTTAACAGTAGCAGAATAAAAGAAAAACATCAACTCTGAAGGACATTTGATTTTTTCTTTTTCATTTTCTTTCGAAATCATATATTCATGATTATGTGTATTTCATCAAATATGCTTAGAATACTTGATCATGGATATGAAAAATTAAGTAGCAAGTCGTTATAAATCTAACCATTGATTATCTGAAGAAAATCTACTCATTTAATGTTTCATTCTGCATGAAAAAAATTTCTTGTCTTGATTATAGTTGTTTCTCATGAATTTCATTGGAGTACAAGTGTGACAGGTCCAATAGATGAAGTATCATTCAAAGCATACGACTTTAATGTATGATTTTATTTGTTTTACTTGATTCGAATCAAAGTATAAATGAAAAGACTCCGACTAAAAGCTATAGATATTTGTCTTGTCGACTATTCGAGTATATAGCTGTTTATATTTAAAAATTCGGCTACAAAGAATACTGCTAAGGAGAAAACAATCTTTGGATGGATATTTTGTTTTTTCAATATTGAAACATAGTGTTAAGACTTTAATTAAAAATGAAAATCGATCCGGCTTTAATCGGAATTATTTTAGGCTTAAGAAGAATGATCGTATACCTTTTTAAGGCAAGAATAAAATAACAAAGCATCTTTGTAAATATATACAACCAATAAGTAAAAAATAAGATGTGTGTAAAATCGAAATATTTTTATAGAAATCAAAGAAAAGCATAATGCATTTATTTTTGTTTTTTTTATTTAACATTAATGATAATTGATTTACTCAACAAAACAATGCATTAGTTTTCTATTGTTTTGTTATTTTTATATGCTTGCAAAGTTCATGAAAACTTCATTTTTATACACGATTGCCATGACTATTAATATTAATCTGCAATACAAAACTATGTCAAAAATAAAAAATATATTAACTTTTCATTATGCAACCGCATGTTTACTGCTGCATAAGCCTATTCTGATGTTTCTGACTTCTAATTTTTTAATACTCAGGATTACTTGGTAAAATTACCATTTGTCATTATCAAACAATTACTATTTTGTTTGTGAAATTCGATCGTAATGTTCATCTTTTTATGAATTATAATTATCGCAAAAATTAATGTGAAGATTTAGTAAGGTGCGATGAAAGTGATGCTGAATTCTCTCGAATATTATGATTAAAAAGTCAATAGAGAAAACGAAATCTAAACAATTTTCATTTCATTAATTAGAGTATTAAATAGATTCTGCTTGTTGATTTATTTTGTTCATGTTCGTATCGAGAGCAGAAAATTAGTTTCAATCTTCTGTAGCGTGAAAACGAACGTTGAAATTCTAAGATTTCATTCTTGTGGTTAAACTTGAGAATTTTTTCTATAATTATTTCTGGAAAAGGAAAAACTGAATTTACATGATTGTTCTTCATAATCTGTTTTGACTTCAGGACCATAACTCGTCAACAACACTCGTTCGAAGTTATGATTCATTACAAACAAATCAACAAATATATCAATTTCGATGTAGACATCATCTTCAGACTTTTATTTTCAGCCTCATGTCTACTAAGAAACTATTTGAAGAGCAATCGCTATGTGACAAATCTGACTAGTGTCAGAAATTCTTCATTTACAAATGGAGTAATAAAAAGATGAAATAAATGGAGTGTATATCATAGAGAGGTAGGAGACGATTTACAATTACACTGTTGGACTTGATTCAACAGAAAATTTTAGACATTACTGATTATGGAGAGAGAGAATTCAAAATAATCAAAATATAGATTATGTATAATAGAAAACGAATTCATCAGGATTGTCATAAACAAATCCATGAGACTCAGTCAATCCTCTTATATTATCTACAAAGTCGTATGGCATATATATGTTGAATTAGGTAGTTTTACTCTAGGATACAAAGAAAGCATGAGCAATTTGGGATAGCAACAAATTTTTATCACTTCTCCAAATTATTTTTAGACGAACCAAGTGCTGTCCCTTGTAGTGCTGGTGCGTCGCCGATGATTGTATGTGAAGCGCCATTTATTGAAAAGTTTATATAACGGTGTTTAATTTTGCCTAAAGTTCAACTTAGCCTGACACATATATCTAAGTTTCACAACGATCATACATTCCGAAATAGTGTTCTATCTCCACTTAATAAATATTACTTTTAACCGAAGTTTTTATATTCAACAATAAGTAACTATTGAAAAACTAGACAGATTATATTATAGCATTTTTTCATTACAAACGAATTGGTCACATGCTGTTGAACATCGATTCATTTTGCAAAGTGAACAATAGGTGTTCGTATTGAATATGATACAGATGTCGCCTAGTGCATTGTGTGTCTTTGTCTTTGATTTGTGTATAGGTCATATCGGTCGATCAAGGTTAACACAATACAAAAATAGTATTGTGTCTTGATTGTTTGAATATATGATGTCTATTGTATTGTTTCTTGTTGTTATACTTATCAGTTTTGATTCTGGTATATTGAAATGTTTATTTTCCTTCTGTAACATTTGTGTGCATTTTTTTAGTCAATGGTCTCGAATGTTATGTGTGTGAACAACAAGAGGGTAATAATGACAAATGTATAAAAACGGTTCGCATGTGTGATCGAGAGCAAGATGCATGTGCTTCTCTTATTCTTTGGACGACACCTCATGAATGGTACAAATATAATTTTCAGTATATATTTTTAATTAAATAAAATTCAAATATATATATTTTAGGACACCTCGTGCTGAACGTCGTCATTATATTTCAAAAGGATGTGATACACAGAGAGCATGCACTCAACGTAAGCATTTTCTGTATTCGATAGCTAAGATTAAGGACTTTTTTCTCTTATTAGTTCTTTATGGTCTTGCTTCAATTTGTACACGTAATTGGTATGAAGATTGGGCATGTGTTGAATGTTGTCAAGGTGATCGATGCAATCGATATGTTGTTGTATGTATTCTAACAATTATTTTAATTATCATAATGATAAACTAAAAGAATATCTTCAGTAAAACAAACAATCAGCAATGTTTTTAAATAATAGATTTAGAAACATTCGAAGAAATACACATTGAGTCATAAAATATTGAAATATCTCTCTGAATCGGTTCGCTCGATTAGACTAAGTTTTTCACAAGCGTTAGAAGTTTATTTTAAGTTGTTTTACTAGTTAGTATAAATACTAAGATCCGTGTTCAATAAATAAAATGTGCGATTGTAGCTCATTCGGCACTCACTTCCCTGTTAAAAATCAGAATTTCATATTTGAAAATTCGAATTTTTTAATCGTCGACTTCTAACCTAATTGACACGAGACATGCGACGAATCCGAATGTTCAGGTTCAATATTGACTGCGACCTTTTTCAAACTTGGTTATGGTAGTCCTACACACAGTGGAATACATAATCCAGAAACCTAAGATTTGCAAGCATACTGTAGAAAATCATTAATGCTTAGAGATACTCAAGCAGAACCTTAAGATGCTTCCATGATCGTTCATGTGTCTCAAGAAAGGCTTGGGCATATACTGGACACTGTCTGAACTGATTTGATAGTTTCTGAACTCAAACACTGAACCAAAGCTTGACTTCAGTGAATGTCTAACTAGTTCTAAAAACTTGTTCTATGCGCATCAATATACAGCGTTGGTATTTTTCTTATTTGATGAAAGGTAAAGTTGCTTTCGCAATACTCGTCATAACACTTTATAGCAGTGGGCACGTCAACAGTTGAGCTTTTCAAATGAAGTATCGACCAAAATAAATAATAATCGATGCGTGCATTTTTCACTAGCATCCGATAGGATGTACGTGTACATATGTTGGCATTGGTATCTGCGAGTTTTCAGCATTTTTAAATAAATGTCTTACATATGATAATTTTTCACATTCATAATCCGTTGAAGCTCAACTGTCGTGTCACCATAGCAGAGATATCTGTAACGGCAGTTGCGCAGTAGCCTTATCTTTTCTAGAACCGCAGTAGATTTCTAGCCGCAATCGACATCCATGATTCACTGTAGTATTTGCTTATCTTATCTGTATGAAAAAATAAACTGAATAAACTTCTACCTATTCTAAGTTAATTGAACCGATGCTGAAATTTTTTTATTTTTTTATTCAAATGTTATTATTTATGATCCAACCTGTACTGAATTCTTAAGAATTACTATTACCGAATTAATATCATCACTTGATGTTTCTTCTATTTTTAATAAACAGATAATTCCAACTAATTATCTTTGTGTTATATATTTAGCTCAGCTCATCAAACATCTATCCATCATTGTTTATCATTCCAATAGCTTTATTCGTGACTATTTTCTAACTATTTAACAGTTTTGTGTATTTTTTTAAATATTTTTTATCTGTAAATATTTGTCAAATATTTCATTCGCAAATAAATAGACGCAATAAGATCATCACTTGATATTCTTGTTATTAATAAACAAGACAAAAGAAAGAAAAATAAGGAAACAAATGAGCACGCATACAATAATAATTAAAGGTGTATTTCATGGATATTTTTCAGGGATAACATTAAGACCAAAAAAAAAATATGACTTTTTCTTTTCATCATCATAACAGTAAACAAGAATTACAGCATGTGGAAGAAAAACGAAAGGAATATAAGTGGAGATAGAAATATATAACGTGCCAAAAAATAACAATAGGGAGCAAAGGAGTAACAAAAAAAGAACAACAGTGATAACAATTTTTTGGTTCTCGGAAAAAAAATAATAAGGAAAGCGAAGTAAAGACAACTCAGTTTTATCAACGGATCGATTTGCGTTACACCGACTAAAGCAAAACAAAAACCATATAGAAATATATAATTTTATTCATTAAAATTTACTTTGGATGATCATTGAGGAAGACCGGAATTAACTAAAGGAAAGGAAAAAAAATGAAATTTAACTCAATGTTATATTCAATCTATTAGGTTTTTTTTCTTCAATGTATATAAATATATCGCTGTTTTTTTCTTTTTTTTACAATGTAAAAAAAAATAACTCAAAAGTATTTGAATAAACACCCACATGAGATGAAAGCACTTTTTTATTGTAGTTCTTATATATAAAACATCGGTTTTTCTGTTAAAAAAAGAAAAGATTATTTATAGTTCATTACCAAAAAACAATCAAACAAAAAAATAATATCATACCTGGACTCATCGGTTTATTTGATTGTTGTTTAGTATTTGTGGATGATTTGACTGTAAATCGAGATGAGGATGATGATGACATGGGATTTGAAATATCACTTGTATCCATAGCTTCAACTGATGCTGCACCTACTTGATCAATTACACCATTTGATCCAGACATTTTGAAATGAAATCTTCAAAGAAATAAAAAAATTTATATTGAATTTTCTAAAATTCTAATTAGAAAAAAAATTTAATTATACGTTTGAGAAGCTATTTCAGGTGATAAGATTTTTCGTGGTGATCGATGTCCACTGTTCAAAGAATAGTGTAATCGACTCATATCTTCAATTATTGATGGAGCAACATAAGTAAAGCCCTTAAAAAAAAATTAAATTTTTATATAAAACGGTTTCTTTTTCCAAATGACAAAACATACAAGAAAAACTTGATTAGCACTTTCACTTAACATATTATCATCAGGTGAATCAACGGGTGTTTGTTTTGTAAATTTTGTATCAAATTGGCTAACATCATCATCACTTTTAAGAATAGGTTTATATGGTGGGTCATATCGTTTAGCATAGACATCAGCCCAATTAAGATGACGAAAAAATGGATGATTCTATAAAGAATTTGTTTATTTTTTTGTTTAATTGAGAAAAATTTTATTTCTATTACTTTGATTGCTTCAGCATCTTCTGGACCACTACCAAGTCGATGACTAACTTGTCGACGAAGTAACTAAAATTTAATAAATCATTTTAATTAAAATATCGCAAGATAATCAATCAAAAAACTACATTTAACTTTTGTGTAACATAATCTGAAGCGAATGTTGTAGTATAGGAATCAAAAATTGGACTTCTTACAGAAGTGACAGACACATTAGAAACACTCCTTCGTGTTTGTTAGAGATGTTGTTGGTAAATGATCAAAGACCGTATATCAATAACGTGTCGTTCTACTATATGAACTACTTCTGAAGAAAGATGGTGAAGAAATGTGTCCCAAAATAGATTGAATAAAATAATCTTCCTGTGATTAACTACAGCACCCGTATCGTGTTTCATATTGTAATCTCACAGAGATTGCGTTAAGAGCTTTTCGAACGTGGTGCTTGAGCAGATTTATGAAATCTACTCGTGTGCACCCATGCGCGTGTAGGAAAAATTATTGATTATACAAAAGTTTTTCTTTTGTGTAAATCAGTATATGAAGTTCGTGCACAAGTTATGTGATTTATTTGGTAATAGAGAATAGTGCAATTGTTTTGTTTTGTTTATGTTACCATTCAATAAATGTCTCGTTCAACATGTTTATGTTTGGATTTCGTTGTTCTAAAACATTTTCGAAATGAACAATTTCGAAGGCTATCACAATTACTCGATGGGTAATGGAATCGAGTTGCTTTTGGGGTATCATGGTTTTGTTTCTTTAAATATATGCATAGATTTGTTGGGCGAAGCGTCGAACCATTTTTTTTTGGAATTGGCTAGCAGAAAAACGAGAATTTTTAAGATTGACGAACTCACTTCCGTCTCCTCATTTCGTTCAGCAATCATAAAAATTCTTTTATTATTATCAAAACAAATGGGTAAAATTTTGTAAAAAATTTTTCTAACGCAAATAATGTTAAATAATTGATGTGTGCATCATCTCAATCTATTTCAAGATATGAAATATATACGTGAAGTGTTTGATAAATAAATCTCAGTTCTAAGAACAAATCTTATCAGTGATATCATTTCAGATGATAGTTATAAAGTACAATTTTTAATAACAGAAATAGTTCGAATAGCAAAAATTGACTTTTGACTTAGTGCTGAAAATTTTTCAATGATACATGTGTAATATGAAATCATTTTAAATGAATAAACTCTACTGTGGTGAAACAGAGGATGATAGGAAGCTCATTTTTTTTTTGTATTTTATTTCATAAAATGTGATCTCTATTTTAAAAGGGCAAAGTTCGTCGACTGCTGCTTCTGTTTTGATGGTACAATCGTATTGGTGTTATTGAAACTATCAAAAATAGATTAGTTAGGCTACTAAGCGTATCTAAAGAACAAAAATGTCGAGCTTCACTATGGTTTTTGTGCATAGTAGGAGCCAATATAATTGTCTACGTAATTCTAAGAAGTCTGTTTAGGTTACGACTTGGTTCTGAAAATATTTTTTTTTGATTTCGAAAAAATTACAAGTTAAATTGAAGAAACTAACAGAATGTCTTCCAAGAGTTTTGAAAAAATTCTAACTGATCTTATAGTAAATTTCATAGACAGCAGTCGATGAAATACGATCTGTTAAAGCAGAGATCACAATATTGAACAAAAGAAAGAGGATAAGCTTCCTATTATTTTCTGTTACACTGTAGTTGAGTCTAATATTTGTTCAATCACTTTTTTACAACCATCATGTACATTAGAATGGTATCATTAATAAAATTTGTTAGTTTTTTCTGATTAATTAAAAAAATTAGTCATAAAACATTCAGTTTGGTACAACGAGAGTGAATGTATTCTCATTATTGATTATACAGTGATGGATGATCCATTCTGCATGTAAACAATAAGATTCAAAACGAAATATGAATTATAGTACTCCATGTAAGATTCCGGTAGAATCGAAACCTTAACAAAATTATTCTTCACATGTTAAGTAATAAACCAAAAAATGAACATTAGAGAAACATTCTCATTCTAAATTAGCACCAATGAAAGTATCTATGATAGTGAAAGAAAATTTTCGAAGTCGAAATTGAAGAAAATTTTTTTCAAAATCAAAAAGTTTCATTCCGTAGAGCTTTAATAAATGATAAGTCGGAAATTCGCCACCTGAACTTTGA